CGTGACTTGCAAATTTTCTATATTTCCGTGTGTTTGAAATTTTATTTTAATTTTTTATTTTTTCATTTTATTTTAATTATTTAATTATTATTATTATTAATTATTTTTTATTTCTATTTTAATTATCGCTAAGAAAATACCGATTGATCTGAAGGTGGAGAACGAGAGGTTTTTAGTGAAAAGAGCACTACGTTTCCTGAGTAGGACATTATTATGTGCGGGGGGCCAGATGCGGAAAAACTGAAGGCCAGCTTTTCGGGAAAAAATCCGTGTCGTTAGAGAGGCGTAAACGAACTGACTCTTTTTCGCTGTTCGTTAGACGTCGAGGTGGTCCGCGAGTCATGGGGCCCTGGTCGTAAAGACGTAAATCAGGTCCCCATTGATCCGGAAACCTCGATGTCGCGAAGGAGTCGAAAATATATACAAGGAACCTTCGCTTTCCGCGTCTGGGATGTGTCTCTACAGATCGTTAAATTTGGGATTCGAGATCGATCTAAATAGTTATTGGTAATCATGACATTCTCGTGAGAAATGAAATTGGGGGTTATAGGGGGTTAATTAAGAAGGGCTCGAAGATTTGGATAGCATTGAATTCTTTTTCCTTCTGAAAGCTCTGCTGGTTGTAGATCGCTGTATTACGTCACACTTTATTCAATTTACTTTACATTAATGTAAGTGTACATTATTATTACATTAATATAACCACTGCACGTTTCCGTATTATCCTTATGGTATCTCTGAGTAATTAAATATTAGGTGTGTGGAAACGTAATTATCGTTACATTTATCTTGGTACTGTTAAATCAAGATCCAGCTTAAACACTGAAAAAGTTAGCCCACTAATTAAAAATTATTCGAAGTAGAATATTATAAGAACAGAGATGTTGGATAATATTAATTTTACAACATTACTATGGAAATTAAAATACGGTATTCAAATATTTTAAAACAATTATGACGTGTTTCGATGGTTTAATGATAGATTATTTTCTGTGAATGATAAAGAATAACGGGAATATAAAAATACAGAAAAAGATTATTATAATACGAAATAGTTTGGATGACAAACATTTATCGAGTTTATTGTATAAAAATAATCATTTGCTCAAATAATAGCAGTAGATCCTCGTAGAATTGATTTCATATTTCGGGAATATTCGTTCGCTTTATCCAAATCAAATTTATATAATTAATTAAACAGGATTAAATTTATATAATTCACTGGTATTTTATGAAATAATTGATTAATTACCATGTTATCCGATGTATTATTTGGATTATTGATTATTCCCTCTTCGTTGCAGTTTTTGTACCTGAGCTCCCCTATATAAAATATACATAATCGAGTATTATGCGACTGTATCTCAAATAATAACATTTTAAACGTACCCAGTAATGACATTGCAATTTAGTCGATGCAGAATATTCGATGATATTTTCCATCGATGCATCCACTCTAATGTCAAATATAAAAAGGGAATCATGGATCTCAAAAATCCCAGATATTTTAAAATTCCACGGAGCTCCAACGAATTCCAAAAATTCCCAAATCCTTTCACCGTCTATTTACCAGTTCTTTTTGTCTGCATGAAATTTCGTTACAACAGAAACGTGTCCTCCGTTGAGCAGCAGCACGGTGAATATTTTATGCTCGTACCAAGGGAACGAAGTGTCTTGCACCGATCGAATTAAACCTGGAACGGTGGCGACTTTGTCGTGCAAATCGTCTTACAAATTGCCCGTGACGAATGACCCAGCGTATCGCACAGTCACTTGTCTCGAAGACGGATTATGGGACCGTCGTCTCTTCCGGTGTCTTCCAGGTAATGACGATTTTGCGTATCTTGTTTCGTTCCGACACACCGGTTTTAATATCTTGAATAAAACGAAGAATAATTTATACTCTCATAATCGTGATATACTCGGCAAGTTAATGGCCATCGATAAATTTTTACTGCGTGCATGTCCAACCCCTCCCCTGGGTACAGGTTCGCGCGGGCCATTGATCGTTAATTCAAGGTAGGTTTATGGTTCACCGGATCTAATTTAATTCGTTATGCTTCGTCAGAGTGCGGGGTGCCCATTTCACAAGGTAACACGCTGATAGTAAACGGATTCGAGGCGAAGTTAGGCGTATTTCCGTGGCATGTTGGTATTTACCAGAAAGACTCGCAGAACGAGTACGAGCAAGTTTGCGGAGGCACACTCGTAAGCAACAATCTGATCGTATCAGGTAATTTCGTTCGAGGAAATTAATTTTTTTATTTAATTAATTTTAATTAATTTTTTAATTAATTTCGTAAGCTGTTTGGCGCCTCGTTCTTTTCGTTCTTCGCGCTCTTAATAAGGCGAATGTCTCGAGGAGGTTAGGGTGATTCCAAGAAACGGCAAAGAAGCTAACCTCTTTCTGATTTCCGTCTTTCATTACGACCAAGCGACTGTTATCGTGCGTATTCGAATATATTCTTTGTCCTTTATTAGCCATTCTCGCTCGGGCTTAATGAAACTTTTCGTCTTATTACTTGCAAGTTACCAACACTTATCGTTTAAACCAATGACTTTCATTCCACGGTACATATACATTAATTATTAAAATTCTACCATACCTCCAGAAATATAGGTATTATTCTCATTCGCAGCAGATAACCGCCGTTGCAGTCGATTTCATGTAACTGTATGCATGTTTCTTTATTTGATAATCCAAGGAAAAAGAGGTTAATCAATTACCTCGATATTCGAATCGACTAATTAATTACATACCGTATGTTTCAAAAATTCTGCTCCTATATTGGCTAAGAATCACTGGCTCAGATAATAGCTGTAATATAATACGGTAAATGTAGATATGCAAATTCGTTTAAAAATTTTCTCAACTTCAAACACGATCATTAACGAGATTTTCTATTCATCTGGATTTTATAACCAGCAAACCCTGTACCTTAACATATTCAATTAAGCATTATATTAAATCTATAACTAATCCAAATACATGTATATATTATATTTGTTTACTGTATGTAATTTCATATTTACCATGAAACAGCGTTACGGATTATTAGTAACAATAGTCTCATGCTGTCCCACCATCACGAATAAATCATCCACTCATTCTAACCTTACAAAATTCTTTCATATTTCTCTCTTAACTACCATCGAACAAAACAATTACACTCGTTCACGAAATCCGAAAAATAAAAAAAAAAAAGGGAAGAAAAAATACGTTTTCCATCGTCGACACAGCAGATAAAGGTAAACGTTGTTTCGATAGCCGCTCACTGTTTCTACGACGAAGTGTACAATACAGTGAACGACAAATCGAGCTACGCGGTGGCGGCTGGCAAGCACTATCGCGATTGGAACGCGGTGGAGAATTACGTGCAAAAATCGATGGTAACCAAGATCATGTTACCCGAACGTTACATCGGTGCGAGAGCAAATTTCGCTGAAGACATAGCCCTGTTACAATTGGCCACCCCCTTCGAGCTGACCGCCATGGTGAGACCGATCTGCATGGACTGGGACAACGTGTACGAGCGGAGACAACTACACGTAGGCCAGAAGGGCAAGGTGAGAGAGCCTGGTTATTAATTAAGAATACCGAAGTAGCCAGATACGTCCACGTGTACGCTTTGATTAATTTCAACTGTCGCACAGTCGCGCCATTGCAACGCTACTTTCTCGCCAGATTTCCCGCCTTTTTGCCTTCATTTCCGCCTCCGCGACTGGTTTCAGCTGGCTAATTAAGTCACGCCGGATTATATTTCCGTAATTAATTCGCACGCCTGTTACGCCGCGACGTTGTTCTATTTCAGCAATTAATTTCCACCCTCACACCCCCGGTACGTCCTCGATGTTTCTTTTATTTTATCTTCAAAGCCTCGCCGCGGCGAATGAACCCAGGATTGCTTTTTTCTCGCAGGCCGTTGGCTGGGGCAAGACGATCAAGGGTGTACCTAGTAAGACTCTTCAGGAGGTGAGCATGCCCTATGTTCCTTACAACGACTGTGCGTCTGCCGTGCCTGACGATTTTCGGGGCTACATCACTTCCGACAAGTTCTGCGCTGGCCGGTTGAACGGTGAGTCGATTATTACAATTTATTTATTATTAATCGTCGAATTTCTTAACCTCGCGAATCATTTTGCAGGATCTTTAAAGCATTGTACTTTCTTCTTTAATTTTGAGTATCTCTATTTCCGAATAATTGCTTACATCGAGAAGGATCCAAGAACAGTCATGGGTTTCCATTCAGGCTTTATCTCCGGAAACCAAGCAATTTCCATATTAGCTACGCTTCTTTCAGTTCAATTAAATTCCGATTTGTACGTTCTAGGAAGCTATTTTAATCCACGTAATAATACACGAGGTGTAAAGAAAATATCGCGTTGCGAGTCATGTAGGAATCGACGAAGATTTGTTTGAAAAGTATACTACAGTAATATCTTGACTCTGAAGCTGAATATCTGTTTATCATAAATGCAATTAGTTTTCCGAATAATTTTCAGTAGAAAATTGCGATTTGAAAATTAACCACTTGCGCTGGAAAGACGTGTCACGCACGTCGTTGTGCTTTTGTCACAGAATCGCCAACGACGTGGTACACACGTCGTTTGGCAATTGTTACAGAGACACTGGACCGTTCTGGCACACGCGTCTGCGAAATTCTTGCCACCGCAAGTGGTTAACAGATAGATAAGTTCTCGCAAAGCAGATGAAAGACATTTGACTGTCATGTCACGTCTATCATCGCTGAAATGAGCTGTTTTGTTATTCAGGTTCGAGTCTTTGCGAAGGTGACAGTGGAGGAGGATTATTCTTCGAACTAGGGGAAGTCTGGTATCTACGTGGTATCGTCAGCGTCAGCCCAGTCAAGCACGATACGTGTGATTATCACTCTTACACGGTATTCACCTCGACTGGCTACTTCCGGGATTGGATTCGCGACGCTTACGTCAGCGCGTAAACACAAGTACTCGCTCTTTTATGAATTCTCACGATGAGTTTGATCAGCAGTCAAGTATAAGAGAGGCTATACCTGATGAAGCAAGAGGGAAACGTTATTCGTTAATGATTTTCATTGAACTTAGAAGTGCTTCCTTATTGCAACTATAAAAATTGTTACAAGGAAGAACGAAACCGTTTATCATCTGATTTGCACATACTGGACTCTGAATTAACGAGATTTGTCAAGATAGACGACCTTTTTCATTTTTAAATAAATTGCATAATAATATACTTCCTAACGATATTTTTTTAATACTAGAACTGTGGAACTAGATAAAATGGCTGATGTTAGGTTTTTCATTTCCGCAGTTGTTAGAATATGCAGCTGCACTTAGTACATTTAATCTTAATTTTTATTTACGATGAAATAAAAATATATGAAGTTACTATAATTATTCCTGAGGTAAGAGTAATGTCGATGCTTTTAAAAAAGTTCCCCTTTTTTTGGATGAAATAATTATGGTCCAATTCGGATTTATTTTTCCTTATTACGAGAAATATATCAGACACCAAATTTCACCCTAGTCCTCCTTATTATACTTATACAGACATTATGCGTTGGTAGTTTCACTGTTGGAAAACGTCCAGCATTCACCAAATTCACGCTCTGCGATAACCTAATGAATATCTTAATTATCGAATAATACCTAACTTTTGCTACCGGTTCACACGAAGAATCGTATCAAACAGCTCGAGGATGATGCATAATACTCGCAAACTGACTACTCGCGAACGGTAGTTAATCTGGATCCCGCATAAATCGTACTTTCAGTTTTCAGGAGCGCAATTTTATACGGTGCATGCAATTTTTTTGCGTGCCGTGTTTTCGCGGCAATCTCGCCGCGATAAACGTTTTACAGAGGAACGGTAGTGTAACATAAACGGGGCAAAGACATTTCGATGATTCACCAAAAAAATCCTGTTTGATCTACGACAAAGCACGATGGCTCGCGCTGAAACGGTACGCCCGGCTCTCGAACGGAATACCTTTGATATTGGCTTTATCCGGCCGGGGATCTAAATTAGCAGCGGCTCGTTATTTATATCGCAACTCCGTTATTTATGACACGGCCCCGCCGCGACGTGAATTTTTTTCTTCCCGTTTTCCCTTTTTTCCCGCCCCTTTTTTCCATTTTTTTTCCACCCCCCTCTGTTTCCTCGTCCGACCTGTTCGAATGTATTGTATTTCCCGTAGGAATTTCCGAACAGTGTCGAGATAATCTACGACGATGTTCTGCACCGTAATCCGTGCTGACTTTTATTTTACGGCTTCGTCGGCTTCCCCTTCCGCTCGCGGATAAATTGAACTGCAGAATGTGTTTACCGTTGATACATTTTTTAATCAGTCCACCCTGGAGGACGGGAGCTTCTCCAGTAAGGGAAATGGATGGCGGTTGTAGAGGGCGTTGCACGCGACTGGAACGAGACGTATCTCTGTTCCGGTTGCAATTAGAAAAAGATGTTGGAGGGAAAGGGGAATGGTTGCAGGAGAACTGCTTTTCCTGGACCATATTTTCTTCGCGAGTGTAATCGCGTGCATGCATTCCGTGGTTCTACTCCTCTGCTGTTTTATTTCTTAGACGGGTTTACCGTTGAGGTTATGTCGTCGAAAGATTAGTTCGCTGAAACGTCTCGAATATTTGAAGTACATTGTTGCGAGATTTGTTCACCGATGTATTTCGAAAATTGCGAATATTTTATTTACGAAGATTTATTCTTTGTCTACTACTAATTCCACAGTAGGAGTATCCATAAATTGCTAATCTGTTATTTGGGAAGGAAAGGTCCTTCACGAGTGAAATAATTTTCTTTCTGTTGAAAGATCCTTTCCTTATAAATGTTTATTAAAGTTGCTGGTGAAAGAAGTAAAAAAGTTAATACTATATCATATTAAAGTATTTCGGAAACCAGTGGTTATTGCCTGTTTCATCTACCCCTTCGTCTACAATATGGTGTAAGACTCCTGATAAGAAAATGACTATGGCACGCATCATAGAAAGTTAAATGGTAAGGCAAGGGGGTAATGAATCAGTCTCCCTTAATGAATACTTCACTTATCATTTTTCTCACGCCCAAACACCAAAGTTCTCGTAACAACTGTCATTAAAATTAACAAAAATTCTCAATTTATTTAAATTAACAAAAATTTTTCAATTTTTTTGCATTCCAAGAGGGATAATAATCAGTCTCCCCTACTGAATACTTCACTTATCATTTTTCTTACACCTAAACACCAAAGTTCTCGTAACAACTGTCATTAAAATTAACAAAAATTCCCAATTTATTTAAATTAATAAAAATTGTTCAATTTTTTGCATTCCAAAAAGAAAGAAGAACTCGAGGAAACTCTCGAAAGTAGTTGTCCAGGATATAATGGAACAATTACAGAATCCACGTTGATTAGACTAATTACATCGGCATGTCTAATACGATAACAATCAATTATTTAATTAGCGAGGTTGTAATCGTGGATGTTGAATATCGGCGAAATGCAGGCATTGGACAATGTGCAAGGCACGGTATATGTTTGCGGGAATCGGTGTTTGCTTTGGGCACTATTCATACGTTTATGGCTGACGCGTGTTTGCCCATTTGTGAACGGGCTTACGATCGTGCAACTAAAGGGGTAGATGGATTGTTCGATAAAATTGATACTCGACGTTTAAAACTTTTGTATGTTTCGGGAATAACGCGAATGAAAATACAGACACGTGAAAATGGTTCGCATTTCCCTCCCTTTTCCGCCTGTAAACCAGCGTTCGCGGTCATGGCTAAATTTTCACGCGGAATCGTGCCATGTTACGTCTAAATCGCGACAAAGGCGCGAAATTTTCAAAATTCAAAATATTTTCAATCGGTTATCCTAGTCATTGATCGAAGTCATTATTCTGTAACGATTTTGAAGAACAATGGAACGAGCGTGTCATGGGGTTTCGTGGCTGGAAATAAAACACTGGCGAACGATTAATCTCGATATTTGGACCAAATTCTAATGTCGATTTCTTGTTATGGTTCGTCCAAATTAATTTCAACATTTTAAACAAATTAAATGCTAATTTGAGGAATTTCGGTGTACCGTTTGTACCATTTCGATTCTGCGAGGAGCGTCACGCGGGAGGGCGACCAACATGCAAAACGAAATGAAAATATTCATCGGTCTGCTGGCAATCTGGTCGATATTTGACGTTCTCGATATTTTTGGTGTTACATCCACGAGGAATCCTTCTTCTTCCGTCGAAAGGAAGTAAGTGTGACGAATTATGCCTGAGATAATTTGTTACGTAATGAAAGAACGGTGACACATAGTCGATTGGTACTTTAGATGTTGAGATCGTAGATTAATAGCGAAGGTTTTCCTCCATGTCGAAGGCTTTCTTATAAGAGCGAACGATTTATTTCGCAGACTTTCAGAACACTAACAGAAGGCATTTCTCACAGGATCGGCAGCTTTGTGAGCTTGGGCTATCACGTGACTAGAGGCATGTTCGGGGACATGTTGAAGATGCTGAAAAGAATGCAGTGACGAGTGTCGCGTTTAGATAGAATAACGTGTCTTTTACGTTCGTTCGAGTATTTTTTTCGTCGTGAATGCCCGATTTAATATGTCCAATATGTAACTTAACTTGTCTATGATAACAATAAAGATGGCGGAGTATAACAAGCCGAGGAGTGCTTTTGTTAAAGGAAAGGAAGTTCTCTTACGTATGTATGCGAAGACAAAGTCGAAGAAAGCTGTAAAGGATATCCTCGCTTCATAATCTTCCGTACATTATTGAGGAAAGTAAGATGAACAAATGGAAAGCGACTTTTATCCTAACAGACACGGAGTACTTCCGTTAGTATTTCTCTTTGAAACTTTAGCGTTTGCCATTTGATTCTCCTATGCTGTACCAGCGAATTTTTCTTCAAAAATATTCCCGACTTAATATTCTCTTCTCATCTGATATGCATTCCTAATTTAATTAAGAAAAGAAGATTGCGCTTAATATAATTCTTAGTTTGATCGATTAAATAGGAGTAAAACCGTGTAAATGTAATAAAAGTTCTACGATATTTTATTGGAACGGGAAAGAAAATGGTCTGCTTCGAAACTTTAACGTTTCTCGTTGGTTTCCTCTATACCATTTCAAGAAATTACCCGCGAAAAATGCTTCACGTTTAATTCTTGGCGAACGAGAGGGACTGTGATCGAATGAAACTCAAATATTTGATATAGATACCAGAAAATTTAATTTAAAATAAAATTCAAATCACATCAATGTTTGTGGTCTATCCGTAAACAGACACATCAACAATATTAAATAATAAATAATAAAAGAATACAAATAATTCTTCACTCAGTAAAAAAATAATAAAAACACGTTAATATTCTTTTGGAAGGTGCAAGCATCCAGGCTATGAGACTAATTTATATTTTTTTAGTTCTTCTATACCATCCACAGACATTTTCCTCATCAAGAAGTGCATCATGGTTAACCCTTTGTATTACAAAAATGAGTCTCAACTGTACGTCGAATCTCACAATTATAAGCTACATTTGTCACTCGACGCATCTTAACCCTTTGCACTCGAATGACTCCCTTCTTTGATAAGATTTCAAAGATTGATACTCATTAATATGTCAAATTTAAGATAATGTAACGGTGTGCGAGGCATCGAAACCAAATAATTCTACGTGTTAATTATTATACGAATTTTGATTTACTCCTCCAAAAAATATCGTCAGCTTTATAGCAGAAAATCTTTGAACTCTTACTTTTCTTTATCCAAAAATTCGTCGAGTGCAATGGGTTAACAAGAATCCGAAGAATTTCTAAACTTTTTATTTTATTTTATCGTGGATGGTGGATGGTAGATAGTAGTGCGATATCCTTTTTCACCCAACAAGCGTTTTTAATTCAATAAAAAATTTCCAAAGTTAATTCTGGAGTCAGCTGAAAAACGAAAAATAAGTATAAAACACGATAATCTTCTGTGCGAAGGCGCAAGGCAATGGGGAAGAAGTTATTAGACGGTAATCCGCGTTCTAGCATTTTCTTCAATTACCACCTGCGATTCGCCTTTATGAACGAGCCCGGAACGAGTGTTTCAGAGGCCTCTTATGTCTACGGCGTGAGGGGCCGGCTGGTCCGCGCGTGGCTGTATTTTTCTTTAGGCTTTTAATTAGTCCGGTCATTAATTAAACACA